GCCCCGTTTACAGCCAAAGTCCGCACATTCCAGGTTGCTACCCTAAGAAGTTGACCCTGCTGTCTCTTTCGCGCGGCGCGCGCTGCTCTCTTAGCTAGCCTACGCGCCGCCCGACCCCTCCTTTTTCTCAATCTTCCCAACTTTTTTTGTTTTTTTACTATTTTCTTGCGAACACTCGGGCTAACGTGATAGTTGCCCCGGTTCTTGCCTTGTTTCCCATAGAGTTGTCTTCTTGTCCCGGAGCGGTGTGGCCCTCCATCTCTGGACTCTCTCCTTTCCTCTCTCTGGGGCATACCCCCACGGCGTGCGGCCACTCCGCCACCCTCACCGTGCTCTCTGCTGCTGCATAGCCCCGGTGTCCAAGCCGGGGCGTCAGGATCCAGTCTCATTTTGCAGCTACCAAAGCTAGCGGCTCAGGAGCTACCCCGATCTCACGACAGCAGTAACTCCCAAACGCCAAACTCAGGATCCCCCTCTAAACAGTGCTAGGGACCGTATATCCGTCGTTGCTGGGTGGTCTTTCGAGGTCTAGATCCACTTGCGGAAATTCGGCCTACCTCAGGGACGGGGGGGGCAGGCCGGGGAGGAGATATGCTTGAACGCTTATGAGACATCTCGATCAAAGCTCGAACTACCAAGCGAAGCACAACAGCGTTTTTTTTTTTTTTTAGCTGCTAGCCCTATTCTTTAATACACCACACCCCTCCCTCCCCCCCGGTGTATGCCATCGGGGTTGGGTTTTTGTCGCTTGGAAACGAAGTTTTAAAAGAAGCCCCCCCCTCGACGTTTGCCATCGGGATTGGGTTTTCGTCGCTTGGCAACGACGTTGTAAAAAGGCCAATTCACTTCGTGAACTCGGTGATGGCCACCCTTACTCTCGAAAGCATGGGTTCGAGTCCGTGTGGAGGTGTCTTTTTTTTCCAAGACATTTTTTTTTCGGGGTCCATCACATTGATTGGCGCCCCCCACACCTCAATCAATATATTTTAATACTGCTGTGTAGTAAACGGGCCAATGGTAGCAACGCACGAGCCTACTGCATGTACGTTTTTCAACAAAAAACTATTCCACCTCCCGATCTAGTGTTGACTTGCCGTATCATTATTACGATGCAAGCAGGGAGGCTGTTAGATTAATAGTACTCGTAGGATAGTAAAGATGGTTGAATATAGGACATGGATCTATGGAGATTGCAACAGGTAGTTACTTGGTTTCTTCGGAGATTCGATGAGTGATCTGAATTGCGTGACGGATGAGTGTTCTGACTTTCTCTTCGGGTCCTCGGACACAAGTGTTCTCTGCTGTCCCCTCCTCCCTCTAATACCAAGACTTTCTCATCTCGGCAAACCAACACACCTGTCCGGTATAAACACATGCTGCCGACCCGAAGATGCTGGAGATGACGTCCTTGGCCGCGGCTACCGGAACCTTCTCCACTTCGGCTGCTGTAGACATCCTCACTCTCTAGCCGCTAGCGGCACTGCTGATAGGTCGTCGTTGTTTCTCGCTACATGTGTCGGTGTCGAGAAAATGGGTGCGATGGGTGAATTGATGTGGTATGTACCACCGCAGAAGAGTACAGAGCTCCGGCGAAGGTAGCGTGGGCAGGGGTACCAGCAGAATTTCAAGTTCCTGCGAGTTCACGTCACGGGATGGTGTGCGCGCCTCTGCCAAGCAAGCTGTGTTGCACGTGGATGGGGTAGCAGTTGTGCGCACGACGACTGCAGGGGCAGCGGGGCTCCGGAGATTGCGGCGGGTCTATGTTTTTCCGGAGACCGCAGACCGGAGAGCTGCTAATTCCGCCGCATGCAGCTACACCGCTGTAGCCTGTAGCCCTCCCTCTCTCCCTGTGTACAGCTGGGTTGATCCCACCCTATGATCCTGGGCCGTGCCGTATATGGAACCTGTCGGGTGGGCGGTCGACACAGCAGGATCTCGGCATGACGGTCCGGCAACAGAGAGAGAGACGGAGATAGAGAGCCAGCTGCCTGACGACGACTTTGCATCTGTGCCTGGGACGGACGGATCCCCGCAAGATGAGGAACGAGGAGCAACAGGTGAAGCACACAGCAGTGGTCCGGGCGAGGCAAGCTCGCATAACTCAGTGGACGATCTGCTGCGACGAATAGCACGAGAAGTAAGAGCTCGCCAAGCACGATCAGACGACAACTCTAGAAGAGGCACGTCAGAGGACAGCCATGGGGGTGACTGGAGACGGCACGTGAACAACTGCGGTAGCAGCCAACGGAAGTTGCACCAGAGGCGGGAGCACCGTCATCCCTCTCACGAAGACTCTACCCGGACGTCACGATGGGGCAAGACTTGTGAACGCGGAGCCTCTGCACAACCGAGAGGGGCGGGTGTGGGGATGAGGGAGGCAGCCGTGCGAACAACAGCGGAGGTGTCTGCCGCAGAGGCGAATCCTTTCGTGGAGAGCATGTGGGAAGACGCTTCGTGCCGGCAAGTACTTCAGGCCATGTTCTTCGCACAGGACAGTGCTATTCCCGCCGGCTCGACCGAGGAGTACAAGGAGCTGGAAGGTCAGGAATATGTTCCAAAAACATGACACCTCACCAAGCCCTCGAGTGCGCCTGGAGCAGCTCTGGTTGGAAGTACAAAGTAATGTAGACTTTCTACTTCTTTAGCTGCGGTGTTGATTCCCATCCCTGCTATCTCAGCTACCGGGTTACTACTGGTCCCTTTTTCAAAATCCCTGCTTCATGACAATAACTTTGTCACCCCCCTGCACGCACACCGACCGACCGAACGCTGCCGTATCTCATCTAAGCAGAATTCGTGCCGAAGTTTCTCGTCCGCCGCGAGAAAGGGAAGGCCGCCGCTGCAGCCAAGGCTACACCCAAGGACGGGGCAAGCACAGCAGCTGCCGCGGCGTTGCCCCCAACAAGAGATGCTCCACAAGATTCGTCCGTTTTCGAGTCGTCGGCCGGGACGGTGGCGGGGCCTTCGGCTCCGAAGCCGTTACCACCGGCACTCTCCGCCCTCCCGAAATCGTTCCACAAGCGGTACCTGGTCAACTTCACCGTGCTCTCCCCCGAACAGCAACGGGCAGCTCGGGAAGCAAAGAAGCAGAGAGAGGCCGAGGAGGACGGCATGCGCAACGGCCGGAGAGGTCGTCGCGGGGGCTTGAGAGACGTCTCGGCGGCGAGCTATGACCCCGGTAAGGCGGCACTTCGGGAGCTGGCAAAGAGAGGGGTGCTGGAGAGGGAGGAGGTGAAGGCGATGCTCATGCCAGGCCCAATGGCAGACTTCCGCGGCTCCGTGTTGCAAGTGAGTGGTTTGAAGCTTTATTTTACTGTTGAAGCTGGTGCTGTTGGCTAGGTATGTTGCCGATAGTTTCGCGACGCCGCACGGCTTTGCTACCGTCTTGCCGTGTGGTGCGTTCCATGCGTCTGACAGTGGACCCCCTATGCTCTCGGTCATTCTTGAAACTGTTTATTCTTCAACCAATCGCGAACGCGTGTTCCTAGGGACTACGCACAGCTGTTTTTTGTTTACCGTACGAGCTATTGGTCGTGTCGACGGTGCAATGTACAGCCCTTTTTCCTGCAGACTTTTTTTGCTACAGGTCCTGCCACAATGCTGATCCTAAATTTGGGGTCAATACGAGTTGTGCCGTTATGTTTGTTGGTGTGAGCGCACCCTCGATTGTTGTTGTTAATGTTGGAGGTAGACCAACCATCGTGCCGGGAGCTTTGGGGTACTCCTTCGTACAACCGGAGCTTAAGACTGCATTTTGGGAATCATTTGTAGGGCGACTTCGACTGCTGTCGTTGGGCACGTCCCAGAGGTTACAGCAACTGCTATATTAAGGTTCTATGTAAGCTTAGCTAACACCTTCCATTTTCTGGATGCCTTTGGTTACTTCAGCGAGTGCGCTACCGTGCGTGGAAATACAAAGTGGCCTCAGTCAACGTTCTTTCAGTGGAGAGAGCGCGTTGCAACGTTGTCGAAGACTGCTCACTTTCCTCGACACTCGCTCGGCGAACTATGCCCACAGGCTTTCATCGACTTCCGCATGCGTCGGAGCCTGACGAAGGTGGTCAAGATCCGACGAGATCGCGCCTCGCTCCCTATCGCAGCTTTTCAGGACGCCATCGTCAGAGCGGTCGCCTCAAACCCGTGCGTCCTAGTGGCTGGAGACACCGGCTGCGGCAAGAGCACTCAGGTAATGCCGCCCGTGGTCCTCCGATCCGCGAGGGGCTGCGAGGAAGTAGTGGTGCAGGAAAATTGTAACGACGCTTGGCGGCTTCCCTTCTACGCCCACGGGTTGAACTGACCCCGTTTCGATTCGAACGCTTCATCGGGAAGACCGATGGAGATCCTCAGCCTTTTTTTCTTTTGTTCTCTGGCCGCGCTTCCGATTGTCGACAGCAGCGTCCGCATGTAGTCGCGAAGGAGACAAGAGCGTTAGAGCTACTACTGCTGTATACCTGTGCTCTTGTTCGCTCGTCCGCAGGCCAGCATTATTTCGAGCTAGATCGATGATCGATGTGTGGCGCCCCGGTTAGACAGCGCCTCTGTGTTCGTCCGTCAGATGTGGCACTCAGCAAGTGTCTGAAAACTCCTGGTACCATTTATCTCCCTGTACCATGAGTTCTAACGGCGAATCGACCTTTACGGGTCCGTTTTTGGTGGTGGGAACCGCTTGGTTGCATGGTGCGCTCGAAACGACAAACCAATGTCGTGCGGCGGGACAAACCTATCCACACAGGTGCCGCAGTACTTGCTGCAAGCCGGGTACGGCAGGGTGGCCTGCACGCAGCCGAGGAGGATTTCCGCCATGGGCCTCTGCCGCAGGGTGTCCTACGAGACCCTCCACGAGCACGGCTCGGAGGTGGCGTATCAGGTGAGGTGCGGGAACAGAATCAATACGTACGAAGATGGCCCGTTTGATACGGGAAAACACGGCGGAATGTCCCCTTGCCGTTGTTGTCCCGTGGCCACTAGCCTGCCGGTGCCCACCGCTCTTGAGGTCATCCTGCGATGGTGCTTGGACAGAACCAGATCTAGTAGAAATGCTCCATTTGCTCCTGGTGTGGTGAGATGCATCGGGCCGCTCTTGGGTGCACACGCGCGCGATTTTTGATGAATGCGCACCCGATTGACAAAACGCATTCGATAAGGGGCAGGTGTGTCAACCAGACTCTGATACAGATTACCGCTGCTGCTGTAGATCGTTCCATCTATTTACCGCGGTGTGTACTTGTACCCCTTCCACCGTTACCGTGGGACTTGCCTGTTTCATTTTTCCTCCGCGGGTGTCGAGAAGGTGAGGTTCGACTCTTCCAGGCGTCGGTCTTCCCGCATCCTCTTCCTCACCGAAGGGCTGCTGCTGCGTCAGATCGCCAGCGATCCGAACCTGTCGTCCTACTCGGTTGTCATCGTCGATGAGGTAAGACGGAGAGGTAACAAGCAATAAATCTGACCACCCTGTCTGGAGTTCTTGGCCCTTCAGCCGCTCTGATAGAGCCACAGGGGTCATACAGAATAGTATTCGTTCCAGACACATACCCCCCACCTTTTCTTCACGGTGCACCCATTGAAGATTTGTGGAAGAGGGTCGATGTTGATTTTCTCACTCACGATGGGATCGAGCTTGTTTTGCCCCACGAACTAGAGTTGTAGCTAACACGGTGGGTAAGTACCATGCACGTACCGGTTTATAATAGGACTATCATCATGCCGGTGAGCATCCATGAAGCACCACCGTTTGACGGTTGATTGAACATTTGTGATGCATTTTGTGACGGGGGGGGATGTCCTGGCACTGCGGCAAATAATCTCTACAAAACTGGTCGGAGACGGAATCGTTATTTTATGTATCCCGCAGACAAAAGAGTACTATAACAGGGTTGGAAACGAAGCAAAGCACGTCTGGCACCACGAACCGATGCGACCATGTTTGTGCTTGTCGTGACAGGTTCACGAGCGACACGCTGGGTGCGACTTCTTGCTTGGGCTTCTTCGAGCAGTGCTCAGGAGGAGGCCGGACTTGAAAGTTGTTCTTATGTCTGCCACCATTAACCCCGAGCTGTTTTCGAGGTGAGTCGATAGTTGCTGTTACCCCTGATGTATGCTGTTGCTATTGTCGTTGTTGTGGTTGCTGCTGCTGTCGCTGTCGTCGTATTTGTCGCGACAGATGACATGGGAGAGGGATGATATCAATTAGCGTAGCTTTTGTACGCCATACAATTTTAATTCAGCCGTGGTCCGTGTTTAGGTGTCCACATTGTCAAAAAATTGTTATAACCGCTGCTGAGGGCATGGCCACTAAATGGCTTGGCGGTAACCGTATGGTTGGGAGTCAGCTAGAGCACAGGGACAGGGGTGCGATCGATTTTCAAAGCGTCATTTTTCCACAACCAGGAGGGTGCGAGCGCCAACTGATGCTTCTCAGGAAAGCTCTCGATGAGATATTTCCAAAGCCGCCCTTTTCGACAGTGGTAACCTCCTGCTTGTGGAGAAATTACGCTTTGAAAATCGTTCGCACTCCTGTCCCTGTGCGCTGACTCGTAACCTTACGGTATATGGTAGCTTGACTACCGAGGTGCAGCCGTGCCACGAGATTTCGGAACTCCTGCTCAGGGCATCCCGCTAGAGAGGGGAGGGGACCGCCACATATACCATGACTACGACTGTAAACAACCTCTTCGGCTCTTCGGCATGGACAGCCCCTTGGTAGCGAGATGAATAAGCACTTGTTTGAAAAATGTTCGTCATTCGATGCCCACACCCGTGCGTTCGCCCCCACTTATTCGATAGAACAAGGCAACACGGAGCGGGTCTTGTCTGCGGCGCCGATCAGCCATGCATCAACCAATCTGCACCCCTACTTGCCGTGCGCATACTGTGGGCATGTTGTTGCTGATTCTCGCGTACGTGTGTTCGGGTGTCCAGGTTCTTTGACGGCGCGCCTCTGATTAGGGTTCCCGGAAGGATGCACCCCGTGGAGGTTCGGTACGTGCCGACAGCAGCCGACAACGATATCCAGGAGGTGAGGTTCGGCGACCTTCGTGAGGAATATCAAAGGCTTTATGCCATGTTGCTGCTGTTACTGCTTCTGTTCCGACTGACACGACACGACGCGACACGTTTGTTACAAAAAAATTGGCCAATCACGAAATCTGCTTCTGCTGCTAGCTACATACCGCGCAGTGTTTGGCTTAGCATCTGCTGCGTTTCCAACACTGGGGTGTTTTCCTTTTGGTCGGTCATGCCATGGCAGTGAGTGGTCCACACTGCATGCTCGTCCCTCCCTCCAATGACTTTACCAAAGGGAATCGATTGTTTATTTTACCTCCTTCGAGGCCGTGCTGATTGATATTATGCTTGGAAAAAACAAATCCTCAACTGCGGTTGCCGTTAGCCATGCTGCCAGCTAGCCCAGGCCAATTCCTGGGTGGATGTCCCGACCGTTCTCCGAAACGTACGCATTCCACCAAGGTGGTATCCAGGCATGACGGAGAGGGCCAGCGGAAGCTCCGAAGCCGAGGAGGCGGAGGAGGAGAAGGAAAGCGGGTCATGTTTGATGCTCGTCCGTTCGTCAAGGTTAGCCGGTAGTCGGTGGTGCGGTGGTCGGTCAGACCTCTCTGCTGGGTGCTGTACCACACTGTTGTGCATAGAAGCCGAAACCAAACCGTTAGACTGGTCAGCCGCTGACTACGCTGACTTGTCTAATGGTTTGATTTCGGCCTCCATGTGTGGCAGCAGCACACGGTTGCCAGAGCAGCGCTGTTGTTGCGACAGAAGTGCCATGTTGTAAAACCTTTGTAGACGGTTGATTTCAACGTTTACGGCGGTGACGGTTGTGCTCAACGCTTTTTTACGAGGCACCATCGGGTGGTGTAGTGCTGTCGCTGGCGTCAAACGTTTGCAGTGCTTGGAAGTCTCGGGCTTGACCGCAGTGTTCGTGTTTCGTCGCCCACCTCCAACAGGTGGATTTTTTCTTTGCTGCATACCTCGAAACCGTTCTGCGAGCATTCACTTTGTCCGATAACCTGGATGGTAGTGGCAGTTGCCCCATGGCCGCTTCAAGGCGAGCGAGCTCACGAGGGAAAGCAGAACATACGAGAGGTTGCCGAGTGGTTAGGCGATGACCTAGAAGTCCCAAACAAGGTAGACTAGTCCTAGGTTACAGCGTGATTTATTTGTACTATGTAAGTCAAGACCTAAATCTACGTAGATCCCAAACGCTGTGGCAGATGCCGAAGCCGGGAATATCTCAATGATGACACGAGGAGAATTTGCTACAGCAAGTTTTCGCTTTGTACGACAGTTGCCAACATACGTACTGGCGCCCCGTCCATTTTTGACCCAATTTGGCAAAGTAGAAAGGAACGATTGGCCATCGGTGACCGGTCCTGTGGGAGCAATGCTGCGTCTTCTTGAGGACACATGGTCAATGGTCTAACAACTTAGGCATGAAAATCGTGAGTACCCCCCCCCCCCCCCCGCCCCCTCAGCTTCTGGAGAGTATTGACACGACAACACCGCGAGACGAAAGAGGGGACCTCTTGGTGTTCTTGTCCGGGATGAGCGACATGCTGGCCGTCACTGAAGGGGTTAGGGAGTACGTGGAAGCGAAGAGCCCGCGGCGCTGGGTGGTCCTGATGCTGCACTCTAGCCTGTCGGTGGAAGAGCAAGACAAGGCGAGAGACTTTCTTGGGCTGGTAATTGGCCACGCATCCATGATCGCTCTCTTAAGCACGGTAGTGGGGTTGAGAGTTTGAGGCGTTGCTTCCGACTTGCCCAAGAGATGGACTGGATTAGTTTCCGATCATCTTTTAGTGCTTCTCTCGCTGGGTTAGAATAGCCTTGTGCCCAAGCTCCTCTGATAACGAGCAAGACCTCGTGCACGATACCAGTGTACGTACAACCGAAACACCTCCTTCGATTCGATACACCGGACAACATCTGTCAACACCGTCGCAGCCGTCGCAGCCTTGTGATATGATCTGTCGCAACAAGCACACATACCCCGGTTCTTCCCCCCACCTCCGCCATATGCCCTTTCGCGAGCATCTTCTTGGCCTCGTAGCGTCTCCATCGTCTCGCCCCAATCGTGTACACCCGGGGTCCGATCGATATCTGACTCAGGCCGATTCGCCACCCACATACCGTTGGTGACCGATTTTCGAAGCTCGTTCACTTCACAGCGCGAGAGTGGCGGTGCTGAAAATGCCGGCGTTGGAACCGTCTTGTGTTGAGATTTACGTTAACGTATGGTTTGATTAGTTCATCGTCGCGGAGTAACTGACCTTTGAAAATCGGTCCAGGGGGGGTGTCGTCCAATGTCACCTACGGTACATTCACTCCTTTTATCTTTGCGTGCAAGGCCAGCTCAACACCCCCCCCCCTCCACCCTGCTTTAATCTTGCTCGGCGAAACGGAAGGTCTTCGATGCTTCGCCGCTGGGGACGCGCAAAATGATTTTGGCGACCAACATTGCCGAGACCAGCGTGACCATTGACGGGGTGCGGTTCGTGTGCGATAGCGGGAAGGCTAAGGAGATGAGCTGGGACCCAGCGTCGGGCGTGAGGCAAGCACAACTTTTGAGCGTTACGCCGTTGTCATTGCCCGGCCTGCGTGTTTACTTTCTTAAGCGGGAAGTCTATCGAGGAGACGACTCAGAGTCTTTGGGTTGGACGAGCATCCCGATGCATGGATGTAGAAAATAGGCATACGCCAACATGAGTTCAGCAACAGCACAGCCAACAACAAGTCGCCGGTCCATCAGTGTGTGTCTTTATTCTTAGCATCGACCGCGCTATTCGGCTGACCGATGAAAACACGTCATTCTCAGTGCGGTTCAAAAACACGAATGCAATTAACAGTGTGCGTGTTGCCCGCTGCCGATATCCGCAGCGCCCCTCGAGCATTCTTCCCTCTATTTCTCGCACCAACCATCCCACCTGTGATACTACCTGTTTCGCCAGGTTGGCAGATGACTCTCTCTCTCGAACCAATACCTGGCAACCACCACCCAAAACACGCCCAAATTACTCCACGTACACCTCGAACGGACGTGCCACACGTCAGGATTGGTCCGTTTCGGATCTCGGTACTCTCTGTATGCCCCCCCCCCCCCCCCCCCCCCCCCCCCCCCCCCCCCCCCCCCCCCCCCCCCCCCCCCCCCCCCCCC